AAAATTTATATTCTATTTTGTTAGTTTTTTTTAACTATTATTTATTTTTGTTTGTTAGTTTCACCTTTCCACATCCAGCACGGCACTTACATACATAATATATCCGGCATTGCTTGATTCCGATTCATATAATTTACAACGAGGATAAGTTTCGTAATTAATAAAACAGGCTAATTTAGTCCTATAAAATAATCTTCGTGTGAAACCTGCTTCTTACCCTTTTTTGACTTACAAACACCCAGAGGTTTTTTTTTATTGCTTAGATGGGTGTACGAGCTCACAGCCAACATGATGTTAAGTGGTTACTGGAGCCCATAGACATCTACAACGTAAATTCGCCACCCGCCTTGAGATATAAGTTCTAAGGTCTCAAGTATAGTTACAAGTTATAGTTATTAGTTTACTTACATATCGCGGCAGTTGTCATAGAAAAGAAGCTTTTTGACACATGCCTGAGTCTCGCAAATGAAAATTTAAAGATAATCTTACATATTAACAAGTGCCGAACAACAACATTCGGAAGATCATCCATTCGAAAAAAAAATCCGTGAGTTAATGCCCTTTAATTTTTTAATCTGAAGGAATTAATCTCTTGATTCGTTTTCCGGATAAAAAGCCTCTAACTCCCTTCGGTCCAGAAACCGAATACTCTAACCGACAATCACGTCTAATACGTGGCTTCTAAGTTGCGTAAAAAAAAAAACCAGCACACTTTCCCAATTATAATTGCGCAAAATATATTTCATTTGACGAGTCAACATGAAATTTTACTTTTGTATTTTTTTTTCCAAATTACTTGTCAATATATGTACTGAATTTTTTTGCTTATTTCGTTTTACTTTCCGAAGAGCTTCTGTCGTAATAGATAAGAGGTCCGGTATAAATGTATCGGATGATGCGACTATACTAGAAGTCATAACTCCTGGTATGTTTAAATTTTGTAAATTGAAATACTAGGTTAATGCGTGTTAATATCTACGAGACTAAGGAATGAATAGATTCCAAGATTTATAAATTTATCTAAATAGATACTTGCGGTAGGGCGTATTTATTTTAACTATATTGGTACGTACTGTCTATTTCTACCATTAAACGTAAGATTTTATGTGAAAAAAACGTATAATAGGGTCATTTTTTTTTTCTCATAAAGTTGGTACAAAAATCAAAAATTAATAGTTGACTCATATTAATATTATACATAATAATATATACTCACGCAGCTCTGTGTCTAAAGTGTTTTCACATACCTATAATTATGGTACAGAAAGGCATGCTCCTCATTTTTTTCTCCAAAACAATAAATCACTTTCACGAAACAAAACTGTACAGGACACGGAAAATATAATAGGAGAGTTTATAAAATAATTGTATTGCTAAAACGACTGACTTACCTGTCGTAGCGAAATGCGTAGCTACTCCGTGACAGAAATAGGCAGGACTGTACCCACACGTGCGTGATCATCCTTCATAACGGATATTAGCCCACTGAGTTTCTCGCCGGATCTTCTCAGTGGGTCGCGATTCCGATCCGTTGGTTGATTTTGCGAAGCACTGCTTTGCTGGTGGTAGGACCTCTGGTCAGTCCGCGCGGGTAGGTACCACCACCCTGCTTATTTCTGCTGTGAAGCAGTAATGCGTTTCGGTTTGAAGGGTGGGGCAGCCGTTGTAACTATACTTGAGACCTTAGAACTTATATCTCAAGGTGGGTGGCGCATTTCCGTTGTGGATGTCTATGGGCTCCAGTAACCACTTAATACCAGGCGGGCTGTGAGCTCGTCCACCATCTAAGCAATAAAAATAAAATAAAAAAAATGCTAAGGCCATTGTTAGCAAATTCTTTCAAGTTGAGTCCATGAGCTCACCTACGACGTGGTTGGAATAGCCCCGTAGGCTACCAACGAATAGGTAGGGAAAAAATAACGGAGATTCCTAAAATTACAATATTCGATGGTTTTCATTTTACTGTTTGTTATCATCTATACTAATCTATACTAACATTATAAAAAGGAAAGATTTATTTGTTTGTTTGTATTGAACAGGCTCCGAAACTACTGAATCGATTTGAAAAACTCTTTCACTGTTTGGAAGCTACACTATTCCTGAGTGACGTAGGCTATAATTTTTTTTGAAAAAAATTAGGGATCCTTACTAAAACTTCAATAATGTAACCCAAGGTGTAAAAAAAAAACCTAAAATATTCTTTACATCGCGTGCCTTGCGAAAACTATTGGGTAAAGCCGAGATAGATGCCCCACTTTTTGAAATAGTCATGTAATTTTGAAAATATTAATTTTATACGAATAATTTCTATTAATGTAGTTAGTTCAATCCCTTATGTTTAATTAGTAAAAATTTTTTTTAACCTATCAAATACAGATTTTGCAGAAATTCGTTTTTCGTAGAACCTTTTTTTGGAGGATAGATGCCTACCTGTATGGATAGTTGCCCCACCAAGAAAATACTGAGTAGGATAGATGCCTGCAGTGCAGGATAGATGCCCTTTATATCGTGTAAACTTAAAAACCAAACCAAATATTAAGAAGTTCTATTCCTAACAGAGCAATAATTGTCTCCAAGAAACATGGGTCATAATAATAAAAAATATTTTGTAATTTTAAGTCTTTGAATGTTTATAATTAAAAGATAATTCTCATATCACACAAATGATCATAATTAAAGTTTTAAAGCGTTAAGTAAGCGTAAGCTAAACTATAATTTATTTAGTTTCAACATGCATTATCCTATTTTTTTATTAAATTAAATTTTACAAATATTTATTCAACAAAAATATAAACTCTTAATTGTTTATAAAATATTCACATTAAGTGTCAATGTGTACATTGCAAAATCATATTTTTTTATATTAAATTAACACAATAAAGATATCTTTATTATTTTGTCCAATTGAAGTTTAACTGGATAGTGCTTTAAATTTTCCACATCTTCTACATCATTTCTGAAAAACACGTTTCATGTAGCTAGTTTTGAAACACTAAACATTGAATTCAGTCGGATTGCGACTTCGTATTTTTATAGTTTTCAAAACTTTCAATGCATATATTATTACATGCGTTTTAGGTTTATCCCTTAGATTTCTTTAGGGGCAAATCTATTGTTTTCTTTCCTTTCATTTTACAGTTAAGTGGATTGTCTTCATTTTCGCTGCTTGAACTGTAAATCAGTTGTTTGTGTTTTATGTTTTCGTGGCATATTTCTGCTATATTCTGAAATGGCAGAGTATGGAGGGATAGATGCCTCTAAAGGCACCTATACCCCAAAAAATCAGGGCAACTATCCTTTGTGATAAGGATAGATGCCCAAATTTTTTGTAAATAAATTATAAACTTAATAGCATTTATTTACACCTAGATGCAGATTCAATGAACCAATATATTCACATAGCAAAAAATATAATGGAATTTTACACTAAGTATAAAGTTATACCACGCTAAATACTAACCTTTCAGTCTTTGACGTGTTCGTGAAATTCCGCGCGGAGAAAATTACGTGCACGAGGAAAACACTTCGTCACCACGCGATTGTCAAATGGTACATGAGGTATAGGGTGACTTTGGTTCCTACTTATTAAATTAGTTTTTTGTCATGAGTGCGGGAAGTTAGATTTTTAGAACATGAGGCATCTATCCCGCTGCGGCATCTATCCAGGTTTTACCCTTCATTATAGAATAAAATAATGTACTACGATTTTGTAGAACACATTATTATTTACAAAAAGTATCAGCGTATGTCTAACTATTATAGCTATGCCGTAATAAGTGTTCTATTATTTAAAAAAATAAAACAACGTCACATATCGTTGAAATTTTTGTTAAAGACCCGAGCGAAGCCGGAGCGGGCCGCTAGTTCAAAATAAAGTTACAAAGGTTGCTCATTGAAATGAGTCCGATATTTACGGATTTCTTTAAGGGAAATTGTTTCTGCTTACACCACCTGAATTCCGGCTCTGTCGTGTCCCTAATTATTTGTTTTATTCTATATTACTATTTTTACATAATAAAAAAAAACTTTCCAACCTAAAATATATCCAATTTTTTTTCTTTCCAACGATACTAAGAGCAAATGAATCCAAACCTTAATCGTTTACAGATGGACCAAACTAAAACTCTGAAAAGCGTGCATTAAATTTACAATACCGCTTGCCGAATCTATTCGGTTTTCACGTAATACATTTATTGTGATAGAATGATGGTCAAATTTCGGTCGCATAGGTGGCGGCGGAAGACCTATGGTGGATGAGATTAGCAGGCGTTCTATGGCATAAATAAGGGAGGCCCATGACCAGCGGTCGGTATCAAAGAATTGAATATATATATCGACGTTTATTGTAATGTACATAGTTCATACAGTCGTCTAATATATTTAATTTTGAAACATTATTGCACTTTTAACATGATCGTTTTTTTGTTTGCAAGTTAATTTTTTTCTATCTCAGTACTATTGCTATCAGCCTACCGACGTTCACTATTGGATTTAGGCACTCCCCAAGGTTCACCGTAACGCTAATTTCCATTAAAAACCGTCTTATACGCCTGGATTGAAACTGACAGATGCTAAACAACACATGCGCTTGTATTAAAATAATTCATTTTATTGAATCGATTTTCGATCACATATTTCGCATCAATAACAAAATCGTAGAACTTTGAATTCTGTAACAATTTATCTTTAAATTTCTCTCATGTTCACATAAAATAGTAAATTTGTGATCCGATAATATATTTTTCAAAAAACATTAAAAGTATGTATGTATTTAGTTGAGTTTTTTAACTTTATTAAATCGTAGCTTGGAATAAAGTTATAGCATTCACAATGATGTTATTAAGAAAATATTTGTGCATTGTTTCCTGTGTAAATCTAAAAAAAAACATGCAGCTCCGTTACTTTGTTTCTCAATTAACAAATATATTCAAGTCAATCCTCATACATTAGCTAAAGCACAGTATACAGCGTAAACAAATATTAAATAATAGCTGACCTACCTTTAGGGGTAACCACTCTGAAGGCGCTGTTTGTCGACGACCTGGGCGACTCTTCTCGCACGGCCACCCCTGGAGAATCACTACCACTCCTCACCATCGAAAAGTCCAACGGCATCGGCGGCATAGCACTGACTTCCATAGTTAATTAATAAACGGTACGAAACATAACATGGAAAATAAATTAGGGCGATTCTTGGATCGACCCGCGGTCGGGATACGTGTGACCGACGCGAGTCGCAACTGCGTTTTAAGCGGCGACACACTAGAGCGTTTTAAGTCCGACTGTCGGATCAGTAAGGCCGAGAATCAGTAGGATCTCCATAGAGATTTGGACCTTATCGCTATCGGTATCGGGCTGGGGGCGTGGGCATTGCCGGCCCGCCTCCCGAGCCGTGGCGCCGCCATGTGCTCGGAGTGACAATCACTTTGTATAGGTAACACAATAATAATATGATTCCTGATGGATTTTATTGTGCTATACATGCTTCCGTTCGAGATCTATGTTCCGAGTGATGGACTGGGAAATAGGAAATGAGGCTATGGAAACTTTTGGAAATCGTCTGTTTACTGTTTAGAAGAATAGAATTATAAATTTATTTACGTGTATCGATATGTAGTTGTTTATGACTAAATGAAACTTTTTACGTAAACAATAAATTTTTTATTTTTATTTATGTTACTAAAACCATAATAACATGAAGCTATTTTGAATTTAAAATTAATATCTGAAAATGTTTGTAACAAAATATTATATACAATTAATTATGTAATATTGTAATGATCAAATTGCTTGGAAAAAATGTACCATTTTAATTTTTCTCAATTTGAAATTACGATTTTTTAATAATTTTTTTAAAATAATTATTTTTGATATAATATATATTTTTATTTATTATTATATTTATTTTTATTATTATATTTATATGCATTATATATTTTTTTATTTTTATATAATTTTTTATTTTTTTGTTCCTTAAGCTGACAGACACGGTCATCGGAAAAAATAGTTATCACAAAGTGAATGCAGTAGTCCAATTACATTGTAGTAACAGCTGCCTTATCTCATAAGTTCAAATGTTTGTTTACTTTTATCAGAAATAGGCTAGTTAAAGCAATTATTGTACATTTGCGAGCTCATTTTAGGACAAATAAATTAATAAAATTTACGCGCGTCCCTTTTCATTAATCTATAATAGTAGTTTTCTAAAATGCATGTTATATAAAAAATAATTTACTAATTTTTGTTTCTACCCTCAGAATTTGAACTGAGACTTAGTCTCTCGCCCCGTATAAGCACCCTCCACGTTACGCAATTATGGAAACTTCAAACCTTTTAAATGATGAATCGTCACAAGATACATTTCGATACGATACATTGTGAATTTGTTAAATTTAACATTTCAATGAACGCACTGAGTTTCTTGCCGGATCTCCTCAGTGGATCGCCATTCCGATCCGGTGATATATTCTGCAAAGCAATGCTCTTGCTAGGGCTAGTGTTAGCAATCCTCTCGAGTTGAGCCCGTGAGATCACCTACCGGCCCGCGCTTAGTTGGATATCCGTAGCATACCAACAATTCGGTAGGAATTTTTATTTTCAATCACAAGACTTCCTACCTACCATTAGTAAAATAATTAATACCAGTATTAAAGAAAGTCGGCAGAACAGTTGACTCTTTTTTTCCCCCCTACCTATGCTGATAGCCTTGAGAGGCTATTTCAGCTTCTCCATGACGTGTAGGTGAGCTCCGGGGCTTAATCCGGGAGCGGGAGTGTTGCTAACGCTGGCCCTAGCAAGAGCAGTGCTTCGCAGACTTTACCACCGGATCGGAAACGCGACCTACTGATAAGATCCGGTGAGAAACTCAGTGGGCTGTGCCTATGGGCTAACTCACTCGTCGAGCCCTTCGTCGCAAGCGACGAGTTTTGCGAGGACAGCGACCGGTGCTTGAGGTACCTAAAAGCATCATTAATGGATCGGGAGGATCCGTAATGACGTTTTTACGGCCTGTTGACTCGTGTAATAGTGTATAGTTTTAAAACATTTAATTTTGTCGAAGCGGATCTCTAAATCCCCTCCGACGATGCGCTCAAACACCATCCACTGCCCCACTCCGACAATAGCGAGAAAATAAATTAATAAGGACGATTTAAGAACTTGTATACATCTACCTAAAAATGTGCATCTGAAATTAAACGATTACTACCCAAATAATAGTGAATATTTATTCAAGTTTTTAGTCACTAACACTAACATGGCGCGAAGAACCTTGTGTGAAAAGTATTCGAGGTTATACAAAAATTAAAATTATTAAATACTAGCGGCGCGCTCCGGCTCCGCTCGGGTCTTTAACAAAAATTTAAACGATATTTGACGTTGTTTTATTTTTTTAAACAAAAGAACACTTATTGTGGCATAGCTATAATAGTTAGACATATGCTGTCGCGACACTTTTTGTAAATAATAATGTGTTCTACAAAGTCGTAGTACATTATTTTATTCTAACATCAATAGTTTTCGCAGGGCACGCGATGTAAAGAATATTTTGGGTAATTTTTTTACACCTTGGGTTACATTATTTGAGTTTTAGTAAAGATCCCTAATTTTTTTCAAAAAAGATTATCGACTGTGTCACTCGGGAATAGTGTAGCTATACACAGTGAAAGAATTTTTCAAATCGGTTCAGTAGTTTCGGAGCCTATTCAATACAAACAAACAAACAAATCTTTCCTCTTTATAATATTATTATATTATATTATATATATATATAGTATAGATTTACGTAGGTTTTCTCGGGTCGAAGGTATTATTGAAATTATTTCTCAAACATCATAGCGACGCTTGAAAGGCAAACGTGACTAAGCGACAATAACTGCTTTATACATAAATAATAGGCAATAACCATAATCGATGCGCAAAAAATATATATTTATAGGTCTATTAAAGTCATTTCAATCCTACAGCTAGATTCGTTAAAATAGAATTATTTTCAGGTATTTAAACTTTAAATTAGTCTACTGTAAAGTTCACGCATTGTCGCTTAGTCACGTTTGCCTTTCAAGCGTCGATAGGTATACCAGAAAAATACATTTATATTTTAAATCGGATTGTAGGAATATTTTTTTTTCCAATCGATTTCCGTTATTGTAGGCGGACCCGCTCACGTGGCTCTGGAGGGACAAATACATTGAAAGCCTTGAGCTTTTGATCCTAAAATCGAATAAACGAAAGCTTCGAGACCCAAAAAAATACATGTCAATTCTAGCGTTTGTCCAATCACGACAATAACGAACGAAGCGAATCGATTTTAGTTTAATAGCATTCTTTATATATAATACTAGCTGACCCGGCAGACTTCGTAGTGCCTCAATCGATAAATAAAGTACCTAAACTTTTGTATAACCGGTATACCGGTATAAACTGCAATGAATACATCTACTTCACGTCAAAGTGGCTGGCACCATTGACTTTGACATCTATGAGCTCAGATATCCACTTCGCAACAGACGGGATATGAGTTCGGTCATCCATCTACCCAGGCACCGTAACTATAAACCTAAATCGCACCTTTAGAATTATAGAGACCCATTACGAAATTTTTGGATTTCCAAAAGTAGCTTAGAAAGGGACAAACATATCCATTGGTCTCTTTCACTCCGTCTTCTACGTCTTTTCGGTTTGAAAACTTTATTCGATGTTTTCCAAAAAACACATTTTTTGGGTCGAGTCTCTATAATTCTATAGGTGCGAAATAATAAAATGCGTTAGGCGAAACATTATATTAATCAAATTCTATTTTCATACTATGTACGAAATGTGGAACGCTATTTTTTTTAATTCAATATTTAAAAAATAATGATACAATCATACAGTTCAAGAGGGAATGCCCCGGAATAAGCCTACTGGTAGTGTCGGTGCTTCGTTCAGAAATTAAAAACAATGAACGCTTCAATTTTTCACAGTCGCCCGGAAACTGCGCTAATCCGGCTGCTCCTTAATTCTCTAACTTGTTATGAAATTGCTATCGTATTGCATTTTCAATTTTTTAATCCAATCCATGGCCTACTGAGACACGATTTAGACTATGAGCCATATTTAATATCAGTTTTGCCAAGTCTTAATGCCCTTAATCTGTCACCCGCTTTAAGAAATATCAAATGGACGGTCATGGTCAATGGGTTACTATGATGTCTCATCTAAATATCCGGATATGTCGGAATGCGGTTCCAACCCGTGCCGTGTCACACGAGCTTTCCTTCGCTTAATTATGCAATTTTTACGTGTGAGCTTTTGAACTGGTTTAAAATCATGTGAAAATTGGACCCTGGATCAAAACCTTATCGCAGCAGCATCGCTAGGTACGAGTAAATGGGTATATTATCCTTGAGAACAAGACGACTGGCGCGGCGTTACGATAATTATAATACAAATCACTAATCGAATACGGAATTAGGTCGCGAGACTCGCCCTGCGAATACTAATTACACCTCGGCTTTGCAATGATAAAGCAAAGCCGTCGTATGGGATATTTTTATTCGGGCCAAAATGAAATTTCGTTGTGTTTCCGACACGCAATCATCAATCTTACGATAAACAGAATACGATCCCTTTTCCCGAAAACGATGGGACGCGGCACGAAAAATTTTACTAGAAATTTCATGTAAAATGATCCAAGCATAATCTCTTCGAGTAAATCCCATTATTGTGATGATCCCCTCGATTGTGGGGCATATTTTCCCCCCGCGTAGGGGCGCAGGGGGAAGTATGGAAATCGTAATTCGGCTACGGACGTTCATTTTTGGGATTTACACGTAAATTTGGATGCGGAATGAGTTCGTAAACTTTGTTCTTCTTTAGAATTGGCATTTATATGGTTCATTGCTGTTATTACCATTCCCGATCCTGCGGACAGAATGGAAAGCAGTCGACGTCGCCCAAAACACGTCATCTCGTATCCTCCCGATCCACTAACGGTGCTTCTAGGTACTTCAAGCACCGGTCACCGTTCTCGTCGAACCCGCTTGCGACGAAGGGCTAGACGAGTAAATTAACTCTCAGACACAACCCACTGAGTTTCTCGCCGGATCTTCTCAGTGGGTCGCGTTTCCGATCCGGTGGTAGATTCTGCGAAGCACGGCTCTTGCTAGGGTTCGTGTTAGCATCGTCATCAGGTTTGAGCCCCGTGAGCTCACCTACTAGCCACGGTTACGCTGAAATATCCTCTAAAGGCTATCAGCTTAGGTAGGAAAAAAAAGCTGTTATTGCCAATGAATTATAGCAATTATTCAATTTTGGTCTATTAGAATTGGCTTTTTTATGTTTGAGGGATTACTGGTGGCTCGGAGGCCTTTCCAGTTTCACTAGGACAGGTGGGCGGTCAAGGGCCCGGCGGGGCGGCATTTGCTACCCGAG